ACACACACACACACACACACACACACACACACACACACACACACACTTTTTTTTCTTGTTGCAGTTACTAAAATGAAAATACTAAATCATAAAAAGTGCAACCATATACTAACATACATCAGTTTATTGCCAATATATTATTACTACAAAAAGTATATTTTAGTTTCCCCTAAAAATATCTCGTTTTTTCTAGCATTTCTTTTGAGGAGAACTTCCGCCTAGAAGGGGTAACTATGTAGAATTATCTATAATTTTTTCTTCGTTTCTAAAATTTCTATCCCACTTAGTACCTCTTAGATTCGTGATGATTCATGTTATCCAATAGATTTACAGAATGAAGAATTAAAATAAAAAGGAATGATTATAAAACAGGGGAATCTATAAATATTTTTTGTCGCCGAATTGCAGTAAAAGTTGGATTTATCTTCAACATATAGTTTCAAGATATTAATGGTCCTCGACCTTCGTATACACCATTGAAAACTCTCTCTCTCTCTCTCTCTCTCTCTCTCTCTCTCTCTCTCTCTCTCTCTCTCTCTCTCTCTCTCTCTCTCTCTCTCTCTCTCTCTCTCTCTCTCTCTCTCTCTCTCTCTCTCTCTCTCTTTCTCTCTCTAATTGTCATTAAGGATATCATTATCATGATTAATATTATCATTGTTATCATTACCATTATTAGTATTATTGTTTCTATTATAATTGTTATTGTCATTACTATTGTAACAATTAGCATTATCATTTTTTATTATTACTATTATTATCATTATCATTATCACCTTTACTATTATTGTTATTTTCATTGTTACTATCAATGTCATTATCATAATTATTATCCTTTTTACTATTATTATCATCATCATTATTATAATTGTTATCATTATCATTATTATCATTGTTATTATTATCATTACTACTACTACTACTACTATATGATTATTATTATTATTATTATTATTATCATTATTATCAGTATTATTATTATTATCATTATTATTATCATATTATTATCATTATTATTGTTATTATGGCACACACACACACACACACACACACACACACACACACACACACACACACACACACACACACACACACACACACACACACACACACACACACACACACACACACACACACACACACACACACACACACACACGCACACCAATTCTACCTTCTTGTCACAAATAAAGGATAAATGAAAATCTAATGAATTATAGAATGTTTATAATATCTAGAATTCTTGTAAATTAAATCATCCAAATAACTGTTCACAGAAAACTGAACAATAATTCAGGCAGAACACACAGGGTACAGGGAGCGTTCCCCCCCCCCCACCTTGCTCTTGGTTTTATTACCGGAACTCTAGATAAACAAAGATCTTCAGGTTTGTTAGACAGTGTCAGTTTGAAGGTGTGTGGCGCTGGATATCTCTCGTCAAAACCGAAGTGAAATGACACCCCTATTATACAGGAAATTCCCAATTGTGTCGATATTATAACACAATATTTCATATTCGTTTTGTGAAATCAATTTTAAAAATTATAAGAAGCAATTAACATTATTTTCGATATTAAATTCATATCGTTTTTAAAACCTTAAAAAAAACTGCATGAAACATATATCACCTGTTTACCTTACACAGATTTTCTTTATTATCCAAGTTGATTATATATATTACCAGCAAAAATATGGATTACATTCTTCACTCTTCTAACACAAAAAAATATTTGTGCAACATTTGGGACAGCCTCGCCAATTTGTTGAATTAGAAATCAAATTTTCGAGCTATAATTAGTTGTTAATTGCCATGGTAAATTACTTTCATTAATACTAAAATATTCCAGAACTGTACATGTTAATGAGTGCAGTTAACAGCTGAGAGTGAATGCAAATATGACAACAGACAGCTGAAGATGCAAGTGGCTAGATGCAAACGAGGGTGCAAAGGTGTCTAGTATGACTGCTAAGCTTGAGGTGTTATCGTGACTAACAAACAACTAATAAATTAAACAGATGAAAAGCAGCGGTTTCAATTTGCTGATTGACAAAGAGGGTGGATATGCAAGCAATGGTGCAAGTGTGGCTACGAAGCAAGTGATGTGTTGCTGCGGTTAAAAGTGCAACTATATTTAATGAGCAGGCAAATTTGCAAAATTAGCAAGTAAGCCATTTTAGGTGCAAATATGGCAAAAAAGCAACTAAAAGTGCAGGAAGAGATTTAGCTGTGCTATCAGGGTGCAAGGCTGGCTAAAAAGCAGCGAGATTGCAGACGTGGCTAACAAGCAACTAACGGCCAAGTTGTGCTGACAGGCAGCGCAAGGGTGCAAGTGTGATTGAGAAAAATAAAGGGTTAATTGTGCAAATGTTTTCAAGTAATACTACCCATGCAGATATACTTAACAAACGATTAATCGTGCAACATAGTCTGAAAGCAACATATTACATATCAGTAAGTGCAAATACGCCTAACGAAAAACTAAGGATGCAAGTGTAGTTAACAATTTCAGACACAAGTGTCGGTAACGAACATTTAAAGGTGCAAAGTGGCATGCAACTAAGACTAAAGTGCGAACAAAATAGCAAGAAAAGAATGTTCCTGGAATACCAACTATTGCACATCTGATCAGCGCCGAGGGACGGGAAGCGGACGCCATTTAGTAGGCAATCAAACACACTTGGATCGAATTCTGGCGAAGATGGAATTGTGGATGGACATTGCGACTGGCGGACTTGTAGAGAAGTCAGATAATGTGTAGAACTGAAAGATCCCCTGGCCTTATTTTCCTGCTTTATATTACATTCTATTGTCATTAATATTACAGATATTGGAACACGGAGATACCTTATACTAATTTGGCAACACATTCAGGATCGTCATAATACTGGACTGTCTATAAGATGCTTGTGCGTGAGTGAGTGAGTGAGTGTGAGTGTGAGAGTGTGTGTGTGTGTGTGTGTGTGTGTGTGTGTGTGTGTGTGTGTGTGTGTGTGTGTGTGTGTGTGTGTGTGTGTGTGTGTGTGTGTGTGTGTGTGTGTGTGTGTATTTCTTAGTATTACACTACAATTATTGGAATGTTCATTTTTCTTATTAAGCTATTTACACCTACAATTTGTTACATATATATATAGATTTATACTAGGAATTAGAGGAAGCATTAAATTCTGTTTATAATAAGTTTTGCTCTATATGTAACAGCCAAATCTGCAAATTAGTTGCATAATCAATACACATATATACACATCATATATCTGACTGTAATATATAATGCAAAGATAAAATAATTTCCATCATAAAGTACCTAAAGATACACTTAAAAATATCTTCTTTAGAGCCCTGTTGCAGTTTTCATATAAAAAATAAAGGAAGGTTGCATTTTTCCCCAAACAGCCACTGCCTCTTTTGGCCGCTACTTAGACTACGGTTACCCGGGATAAAAGGACTGTGTTAGCGGCAGAACTCCTCACGCCTACAGCATTCACGAGAGAAAACCAATGCACAGTGCTATCATAGCGTGTATCCCTCTGTGAGAAACATTTGCTATAATCTGGTGAGCTCTCTTAGTCTTACAGGCCACTGGCGAGTCACAAAGGGTTTTTTGTTTTTAAACTTTGCAGTCTTATATTTTTAGTCTGTTTCTCGACACTATGCCAACAGTATACAAATCGATCATAACTCTCAAATCAATTCATGAATTATTTTCTTCTCTCCTATGCTGTACACATGTAATAATTGTTGCATATACCACACGTCTACAATTATTAGAATGTTTATGTTAAGGTGTCAGCCCTAGAGGGGAAAACTTCTGTCCAGGTGCCAGTTATGGGCTATTTTTTTTTCTTCTTCACAAAGCCTGTACTCCTTCATTGGCATGTGTTTATACTCAGTCTTCTCTAACACAGTCCTTCAAAATCATAGCTAATTCTATCCATACGTCCTATTAAACTGCTTTCCACGGACACTTCCCTTCTTTACCTGGCCTAATTAGCTAAATGCTGATAATCTTCTAACAGACAACAAAATGTGTTATTATCCTTCCATCTGACTTACATTTAACCTCTTCTGGCAGTGCTATTAATCCTTTCTTCACTGAACCAACCAAAAATCTTCGAACAAAATATTAAAATGTACCCTTACTATTATCGCTCAGTTAATACTAACACACACAGGACATTAACTTATGTATATATAATAAGGGAATGCACATTCTTTGACCAGTTTCTACAAAATAAAAATTAAAGCACAACTATCTTTGTGTTTAGTCCAATAGGGAACACATGCTGTCATAAAGACTTTCTAGAGGTACCTCCTTATACCCAAACCTTAGACACTTAATAGAGACACTAGAGACTTGGCAATGGAAAACATCATAGATATCCGTGAATGAGTCATACACATCTTTGCCATATGTATATTATCATACAAATTCATGTTGTCGAACAAGTGAAAAAAACAACAGTTTCTGAGAGTAAATTCTGAGACCAAACTTGTCTGATTACATCTTCCTCTAGGATTTAAAAGGATTTAAAAGGAAGTAGATTCATGCAGAACCTGAATATGCATGACTTGGCAGCGAGACACGTATTACCACTCTCATTTTTTGCGCATTAAGACAAAACCAATGTCCTCAGCGGTCATCATCATTCGCTGGTCTATCAAACCAAGTTCCCTAGGCTTTTATCTAGCAAACATATAATCAGGTACAAGAAACAAACCTATTACACAGAAATTAAACTCACACAAACATTAGAACCACCACAATATTGCAAAAGTAATGATGTAAAAATACAAGATTAGTTTTACTGTATTTATATAGCTACAAGAATACACCAAAAGGACAGTTTACACAGGGTTCTCATCTCCCCTGCTATATGAGGACACACATGCTTCATCATAGGTGTGAAAGTTAACAGCTAAGGACACAAGACCCTACCACTCTTCCACAAAAAAATTTGTACATTTCCTCTTCGCATCTAGGAACCAGCTACCATCCAAGAGCCCGCCTGTCTCCTTCTCTCGTGCCTTCCGGGTCGGGAAGGAGCCCTCGCCTTCAGTTGCAATAATGCTCTTCGCGTCTCACTCGGCATCTCTCGCATTCCACTTTGCAACACCAGATGAATCGACAGTTGCACTTCTCCTCGACGTCCTTCACCATGGTCTGGTATCCTCGGCCGCAGCACAGGATCTTGCAGCCATCCATGCCCCAGCTGGTCTTGTTGCACAGCCGCCCCACCGTGCCCAGGACGCCTAGCCTGTGGAAAACGACTTTGGGTCAACATTTTTTTTTTTCTTTTCTTTTCTTTTAAGATAATGTAAATCCCATCTCTTCCAAAGCTTATTAGAATGAAGGTGTTGCAGAATTGTGACAAAGCACAAACACACGCATAAGAAATCTGACACGGGAATTAACAGCACTCAGCATCAGAGAAACCAACCTTGCATGTTTGTAACGCGTGAGTGCATAAATACTCTAGAATATACTACATAACCTACGTTTGATTCCGGTTGCAGTAGTCTGGCGACTCTTCTAGGTAGACGAGGTCACGACGGCTCGGCTTCTTGAAACCGCGTCTCAGTGGCCGGAGTTTCTTCCTCTTCTTTCGATTCACGTATCTGGGAAGAGCAGGCGAGTCAGCGCGGGCGAGCAGCTAAAATGCGTGAGGCCACCATGTGGTCCTCGGCAAGTCTAACCGCTCCAGAATACTTAGATTTTGTCTCGATACATAGAGCGCACAACACGAGCAAACTCCAGGGACTGTTTAACGATATCTACAGGCTCGCAAACTCGTTACCTTCTATGGTTTTTATTTTCGAGTTATTGGCAACCTATTGCCAATTCTTATATAACAATACAAAACGTAAGACACAGGGCTAAAACATAAAAAGAAGGCACTAAAATACCCTAAAACGTACAATATGAAAAAGGGGAACATGTCTTGCCATACACTCATAACAATTCATTAAAGAAAAAAAATCAAGCAAAGTGAAGGTTGGGGTAACATAACATAAATATCAAATTACACTTTCTCTTCACCTGACGATGACAGCGCCCTCAAAGCGGTGCAGGAGAGAGTCCCCAATGCTCCTGAAGGCCCTCATGCGTCGCCAGCACACGCGCATGCTGCAGGAACCCGAGACGCCGTGGCACTTGCACAGGATCTCCATCTCTGATCTGATGGCCTGGGGGGAGAAGCTCGATGTTTATGCGCTGCTGTTCAGAAAGGATAAGTATTTCAGAATACCTAATGTTTTCTTCTTTTCCTTTTTTTGTGGTTGCATTAAATTCTTTATAAATCCATAAGGTCTATTAGTCAGTAATTTACAATGCTTACTTTTCTGAGTTTGTGTTCAAACCAGTTTTCGCTAAACGTCTACTATTTCATGCGATAAGTGTAATATGACATCACGACTATATATGACATTACTATACTCCTCATATGACATACTGCTTGACTTTGCGCATTACATTCCCTCCCTCATTCCTCACATGACCTCCACTCACCCTCCTTCCAGCCTCGTTGTTGTGGAGGTTCATGAGGCCCTCGGCGCTGTTCCTGGACTCCCTCGCGTCCACAAACTCCTTGCTGAAGTTCTCCCCAAAGGTCAGGTCCTCCGAGCAGCCTCCCCACTCCCACCTGAGGGGAAGAGGCGTTCAAGATCCTGCTGTGTTTCTGTCGTATTTTCATCAATAACCAGGCTTGTGTGTGTGTGTGTGTGTGTGTGAAATTGGAAGCTTATCCGTGCATGTGTGATCCGCCACAGGGCAACTCGTGGTCGCATCCTGGTGGGGAAAGCCCCTGCGACAAGACAGCAGAAAGACGTGACGTTACCGCTTCCGCTCACCTGCCGCGGTTCGGGCGCTGACGAATCCGCTCGTCGCAGCCGCACTCGGTCAGCTCCCCGCGACTGCAGGCCCGGGTCACCGCGTACGCCACACCTGCTGCCGAGATGCCGTACACGTAGGCCTTCTCGCGGCTCTCTGGGGACACAAGGCGAGCAACAGGTTAAGGGGCCGTCGGCCGAACCAAGACTTACAGCTACTTCAGCAAACGAACAGGTTCTGCTGCCTAGAGTTGTCTACTGCAATAGGACTTTCAATGCTGACAATGGCCCTCCAGGTGTTCCCCACCATAAAAAGGCAGCGTTATAGCTATTTGTATCTCTTCTACATTCTCTTACTGTATCTGCTTTGTGACCCCCCCCCCCTCTCCTCCCAAGAGAGTAGGAGGGGGCAGCCTGCTATTTAACACCAAGGGATCAGCACTCCCCCATTAGCATCACAAGGAGCGGCTATTACCATCATAATATCTGCTGTTCAGCCGCCACGCTCGGCAGCGCCGGTGGCTTCGCGTGTTAGTTTCATCGGTTTTTTATCGTTTTCTTCTTTGTTTTTTCTTCTTCGTCGTAAATTTCCAGCGAGTCGAGATAAGATCTCCTTAGACCACGCCGTAATGGTGTTTATATAAGAAAGTGTCAATATCGTCCTCGAGGCAGAATGGCGC